ATCTGCCATAATCGCCTCCTAACTGATCTGCTTGGGTCCACTCTGACCCCACTCTGGTTCTCCCACAAGGCACCCACAACTAGCATGGCACTTTATTTAAAACTCCCCTGTTTCCAAACTCCTATTTAACGAGGATGCAAAAAACTCCCACAATCTGGTCCCTGCCTACTTCTCTAACCTTGTTCTCCTCCTGCTGCATTCTATGATCTAGGCACATGAATAAAAGACTGCTATTATAACCCAATATCTATTTTCTTCCTCAATAATTAAATTCTGAGTTTTAGCTGAATATGTGGGAAAGGAATAAGGATCTTTCCCAGCCTCCCTTGCAGCTATGTGGCTGGATTTGGGTCAATGGGATATAAGCCATGCCCTTAAGAGAAGAAGTATGGCCCTTTCCCTTTCCTGCTGGTTGGAATGTGGAAACTAAAAGCTGAAGGAGTCACTTGGATCACTAGGTAGAAAGTGTCTGGTGGAGGATGACAGCACAAGATGGATAGAGTCAGGTCCGATAGCTGTGAAACTGCCAAACCTGGACTTTTACATAAGAAGCTTCTTTACTGTTTAAAGCACTGTTGCACTGGGTTTTCTGTCCCTGAGGCAGTTTTACCTAACCCTAATATATGATACCATTCTGCCATATTCTCCATTCTCTGGACTCTGGGGTCATGCATGTGATTCCCTCTGCCTGGAACACTGCTAACACCTTCTGCACCGTCTGCTTTCATCTTCAAATCTGAGCTGAAATGTTACTCTCTCAGGTAAGTCTTCCTTGACTCCCTAGATGGGGTTAAATATTCTTGCTATTTTTCCCTTACACCTTCCCTTGGGTAATCCTCACCATGCCTATAATTGCTGGGTTAATGTGAATCTCTTTCGGTATTACATACTCTTTAAGGACAAGTATCTGCTTTGCCCACTGTCATCCAAGTGTTTGGCACTCAGTATATGCCCAACAAATATTTGTTCAATAAACAAATGAATAATGTCATAGCCCTTGCATAATTTCTGGACCACACCTTGAGTACTTCCTGGCCTTACATTACAGGACTCCTGTAAACTTCACCTGTAGTTCTATTCCTGTCTAACAATCTCACAATGTAAACACTATTTCTCTACTCTCTCTCTTGGATAATTCTGAAATGTGTCAACTCCTTCAACAGATCCACACAGCTCTTTCTTGCACAGTTTCACTTTCTTATAATGTACCTAGGATTAGAGTGGAAAGAATTATGGATATTCTTGAAATTTTAAAAAAAATGGAACAGCAATTTTAAGAAGAACAAAGTTGAAAGTATCATGCTATCTGATGTCAAACTATATACAAGGTTATAGTAATCAAAACATCCTGGTACTAGCATAAAAACAGACACATAGATTAATAGAACAAAGTAGAGAGCTCAAAAGTAAACCCACGCCTTTCTCTTACCAATATTTTTTTCTAATGTATTCCCTCAGACAAGGGAAACAAAAGAAAAAATAAGCAAATGGGACTACATCAAACTAAAAAGTTTTCACACAATACAGGAAACCAGCAACAAAACAAAAAGACAACCTACTGAACGGGAGAAGATATTCAACAATGATATATCTGATAAGGGAATATATATATATCTCCAAAATTTATAAAGAACTCCTACAACTCAACACCAAAACAAACAACCCCATTAAGAAATGGGCAGAGGACCTGAATAGACACTTCTCCAAAGAGGATATACAGGTGGCCAATAGACATATGAAAAGATGCTCAATGTCACTAATCATCAGAGAAATGCAAATTAAAACCACAATGAGGTATCTCTTCACACCTGTCAGAATGGCTATCATCAATAAATCACCAAATAACAAGTGTTGGCAAGGATGTGGAGAAAAGGGAACCCTTGTGCACTATTGGTGGGAATGCAGATTGGTGCAGCCACTATGGAAAACAGTACAGAAGTTCCTCAAAAAATTAAAAATGAGCCCTAGCCAGTTTGGCTCAGTGGATCGAACGTCGGCTGCAAACTGAAGGGTCCCGGGTTTGATTCTGGTCAAGAGCACATGCCCAGGTTGCGGGCTCAATCCCCAGTAGGGGGCGTGCAGGAGGCAGCCGATCAATGATTCTCATCATTGATGTCTCTCTCTCCCCCTCCCTTCCTCTCTGAAATCAATAAAAAAATATATTTTAAGAAAAAAAATTAAAAATGAAACTGCCTTCAAAAAAGAAAAAGAAAAAAATGAAACTGCCTTATGATCCAGCAATTGCACTTTTGGGTATACATCCAAAGAAATCCAAAATACTAATTCAAAAGAATATATGCAACCCTATGTTCAACTGCAGCATTATTTATAATAGCCAAGATATGGGAGCAACCCAAGTGCCCATCAACAGACCAGTGGATAAAAGAGCTGTGATACTATATACAATGAAATATTCCTTGACCATAAAAAAGAATGAAATCTTACCATTTGTGACAGCGTGGATGTACCTGGAGGGTATGATACTAAGTGAAATAAGTTAGAGAAAGACAAACACCATATAATATTACTTATATGTGAAACCTAAAGAACAGAATAAATGAACAAACAAAACTGAAACAGACTCACAGATAGAGAACAGACTGATGGTTGCCAGAGGGAAGGTGGGCTGGAGGACTGAGTGAAAAAGGTGAAGAGATTAAGAAGTACAGATTGGTAGTTACAGAATAGCACAGGGAATATAGTCAGTAACATTGTAATAATTATGTATGGTGCCAAGAAGATACTTGAAATATCAAAATGCTTTGTAAAATATAAGACTATCTAACCACTAGCTGTACACCTGAAACTAATACAATATAACATTGAATGTTACCTGTAATTGAAAAAAAAGAAAAGAAAACCCTCACTCACTAATATGACCAACATTTTCAAGAGTTGGGATGACTTACAAGTCTTTTTTAAAGGAAAATATAAAAAAATGGCCGAAACCGGTTTGGCTCAGTGGATAGAGCGTCGGCCTGCGGACTGAAAGGTCCCGGGTTTGATTCCGGTCAAGGGCATGTACCTTGGTTGCGGGCATATCCCCAGTAGGAGATGTGCAGGAGGCAGCTGATCGATGTTTCTCTCTCATCGATGTTTCTAACTCTCTATCTCTCTCCCTTCCTCTGTAAAAATCAATAAAATATATTTTTTTAAAAAAAACATACAAACCATATTATGTGAATCTGGCCAGGTACAGGAAAACATTCTTAAAATATTTTACAAGCCTCTGGATCACTTTTTTATGGCATTACAAGTAGCTGTCAATTTACTGCTTTAGGTACTCACACTTACTTCACTGACAGCCTACATGGCTTATTTATTTCAAAAATTAAGCACCTTTTTGCTATAACATTGTGGAGTTAAATAAAATAGAGTCCCAAGAAGGAGGTAGTGGAGATAAGACCAACAAAAATCAAGAGATGTGAGTAGCAGTCTTCAGTTTTGTCAATGATTTACTGGGTGACCCTGGGTCAGATCTCTTTTAGTAACAATCCAAGTTCTCTTCTTAACTCTAAAATGAAGTGTTCAGTACACATAATTCCTTAGGTCCTTTCCAAGGAAAATATTTTGTTGCCATATCGACTGGCTGTTAATAATTTAATAGAGGTGACATTGGTAATTATGCCAAAAACTATAATTACAAGTATTCACGGGAAATCTGGTATCTGCCTGTAAGTTTTAGGCTCGATGAAGGTTTAAATTAGTCTAAAATATGGTTCTTCAGAGATCTAAAATCAAATGTGTACTTGGAAACGCTAGTTTTTGCCTGATGAGAATGGCTTTTAGAATGTGTTTTTCCAAGGTATGTTATTCTCCTCCCACATTCGTTAGGCGCCCACACTGGATTCAAAAGGTGCTCGGTACAACCCCCCTGGCCAATAAAAAAACAATGGGTTCGCCGGCACTCCCTGGATCACTGTGCCTCCCTTCCCTTAAGCTGTTCTGGAGCCTGATAAGAAAGCTCCAGGGAGCGGTGGATCCAGCGTCCGGCAACTGCACAAACGTCTGCATTACAACATCTGGTCTTGTTCCGTTTTTCAGAGCAAGGTCTAGTCTAGGCTTTCCACATTTCTATGCAAAGTTAAAGCAATTTGTAGCCGCCTCTGGTCGCGAACAGACTGAAAGCACCCCACGCACGTCCCGGCGCCCCGCTGCTGCCATTCCCGGACGCTGCGGGCTCTACCTGGCC